AGGGTCAAGCCCATCTTCTAGCCACAGGAGAAGCAGGTCTACATCACAGGAGTCTTTTAGCTCCCAACATTATGGGTCTGGCTCAGAAGGGGCTTCTGGCTGTAATCAACATGGATCAGGACAAGGTCAGCCCTCTAATAATGATCGATGTAGCTCTTCCTCTGGACAGTCAGCAAGGTATAATCAGCATAGATCTATGTCTGGTAAATCTTCTACCCATGGACAGCATTGTTCCTCATCCGGACAATCGCCATGCTGTAGTCATTCTGAATATAGTTCAGTTCAGTCATCTAACTGTGATCCGCATGGTTTTCCTTCACAGCAATCTTCTAGCTATGACCTGCAAAGAAATGGGTCACATCAGCCTTCTTTCTGTTGTAGTCATGAGTCTACCTCTGGTGCGTCTTCTAAATTTGGACAGTGTGGGTCTGGTTCAGTAGAGTGTTCTCACTTTGGTGAACAAGGATCTAGTTCATGTCAGTCTACCTGTGGGTATCATGGGTCCAATATTAATCAATCTTCTTATTCTGGATCATATAGTTCAACATCAGGACAGTCATACTGTGGGAGTCAGTGTGGATCTAATTCAAATCAGTCTTCCAGCTACTGTCAACAAGGATCTGGTTCAAGTCAGTCTTCTAACTATGGCCAACATGGATGTTCTGCAAGTCATCACTCCAACCAGAGCCAACATGGTATTGGTTGTAGTCAGGGTTTTATCTCTGAACAATATGGGTCTGGTTTCTATCCCTCTTCTGTCTCTGGACAAAATTGTCCCAGATCTGGTCTGTGTCCTAGTTCACAACAATATGAGTCTGGTTCATGTCACTCATTTAGCTCTGGATCATGTATTTCTGGATATGGTCAATATTCTAGTTACGTGCAACCTCAATCAAACAGGAAATATGGAAATCTGTGGGAATCCCCACATAGCCCCTCAATTTGTAATGAAATCCAATCAAAAAGTATGCATAGAAAAGAAGAAACTTCCTCAGGTTGTAACTTTGGACAATTTACACCTTCACGTAGATTCAATAGATCTAGTGTTACTGGTAAATTATCACTTTGTAATGTGGACAATAGACAAGGCGACTCTGACTATCACAGAGTCAGAGAAGGCAACTCTGAAGTAAGAAATACAGTTTCGGGTTCTCATAGTAGCACTCCACTATATGAGTATGTCCAAGAGCAGAGACGCTAATTCTCAGAGTGAGTAAAGAACTGAGGTAAAATTAACTTAAATGTTAATTTAAGAAATGAGAATTGTTCTAGGTAAGAAACCTGTCAGGCAATTCCTTTCTCAATTTGGACATATCTGCTCTCATCCTTTTCTTTTAAAATGAAAATTAGCCTATATTCCTTGTTATTGAATTCCTTCCAAATAATGTATGATTGTTGGGATACTCAGTTAAGATCTATTGCAGTGGATAAATGCTTAGTTTAAGGGGATTAAGTTTGAAAGAATAACTTAAAGAGTATGGGGTTTAGTTAAGGTATCTATGTGAAAGAAAGATTATTATTTAGTTAAGGATAATGCTAAAGTTAAGCTTATGGTTTTAAAGGGCAATATGTTATAAGTGTGTTATCACTCCAGTCACCAAAGCTTTACTTTACATCAACATACAGTCTAATTTTAATGTATATTATGTTAGATTGCAAGAGAAAGACAAATACACAGATATATATATATATATAAATGTGGACTTAACTTTATCACAGCAGAGATATCTGGGTTTCCATTTGTAATAGATTGTTTCAGAGTAGAAAATTTTAGACATACTACAGCATGGACATACAAGTAGTTTACTGGTTTTCCCAATGTTATTGTCGAAATATCATCAATAACAAAGATGGACAACAAGCTTGCCATTGTTATGTAATTCTTTGTTCACTGTAATGTATTTGTTTCAAGTCTTTGGATTTAAATAACTGGATTGCATAATACCTACAATAAATTAGTGGTGTTAAATATTCAGTTTTGTATTTCCTTTGCTTCATTTCACTTCTTTCATATCAGTGGTCACACAAGTAGCTATTTCCCAAAGTCCCATACTTCCCAAACAATCCAGATTAGAAAACTTTAAAATATTAATAATATGGACAATTTAATTTGAAAATAGGCAAAATCCTTGCCTGGCCTGAAGGTCACAATTCCCCTGTCTTAACCTCCTGAATGCTAGGATTACAAGCATGTCTAACCATGCCCAGTTTCATCACATTGTTCTTCACACTAATTTTTATATGACACAGAGAGCAAAAGTAAAATAATCATAAGCAAGATTACAACAAACTAAAAAGTAATTTGAACAGAAGTAATCAACAAGATAAAAAGGCAAGAGAAAAGTATTTGAAATAAGTATGTATGATGAAGCCAATTTAATATCTAAACTATATACATTTAACTCCCCCCCCCCAAAAAAAAAAGACCAAATAAGTAAATTTTAAAATGGGAAAGAACCTGAAGAGGTAGTTTACAAAGAAGACAAACGGACAAGTGTATATATATATATTAAAAAACTAAAACCAAACAGGCATGATGACAGTACATTTTTTTTAATGAGGAAAGTTTATTGACCACATAATAAAAGTCAAATACATGATAACACAGTTTTCTTATGAACAAAAATCTACCAGTGATAAAGTGTCATTGCTTTAGATTTTGGCAAATCTCATCAATGTCTGACCTGACAGAAGGAAGCTGACTTCTCTTGCTTGCCTCTGCATTCAGTCTGTTAGCACTTGTCCATCATGTATAAAGTTCAATTCTCAGTACCAAACAAACCAAAAATTAATCATATGATCAAAAATTAATGATATGAAGACATTAGATGATAAATGAAAAAAACAGTGATATCTGAATATCATAAAAAAAAAAAAACCTGCAGATGCTGAGGCGTAGGGCCAACCTTTGGGCAGAGTGCAGGGAACCTTATGAAAGAAGAGGAAAATATTAAGACCTGGAGAGGACAGGAGCTCCACAAGGAGAGCAACAGAACCAAAAAGCCTGGGCACAGGGGTCTTTTCTGAGACTGATACTCCAGCCAAGGACCATTCATGGAGATAACCTAGAACCCCCTGCACAGATGTAGCCCATGGCAGCTCAATATCCCAGTGGGTTCCCTAATAATAGGAACAGGGACTATCTCTGACACTAACTGATTGGCCTGCTCTTTGATCACCTCCCCCTGAGAGGGGAGCAGCCTTACCAGGCCACAGAGGAAGACAATGCAGCCAGTCCTGATGAGACCTGATAGACTAGGATAAGGAAGTGGAGGAAGACCTCCCCTATCAGTGGACTGGAGGAGGGGCATGGATGGAGAAGGAGGAGGGAGGGTGGGATTGGGAGGGAAGGAGGGAAGGAACTGTAGGGGGATACAAAGTGAATAAAGTGTAATTAATAAAAATTAAAATTAAAAAAAATAACTGGGCTGTGCAGGCACAGCTCTCTTCAACAGTCTGCCAGGGCTGTGTATGGGAGGTGCAGACAGCTTTTCTCCACCATCTTCACTGGTTTTACTGGTAAAAGAACTAGACCGAAACGTAAAGAATAAGGAGCTCATGTGGCACCTGTGCAGCAGACTGAGCTGGCAGCCGTAAAATACAACCTCACAGGAAGAGCTCGTAAAGGGCCTGTACAGCAGAGTGGGCCAGTGACTGCCTGGTGACAGAAATGATATCAGCCAGAGGACAGGGCACAAGCAATCCAGCATGAATGGGCTGCTTAGAAGTGTCGGTTATTATCATTAGCTAAGCCTGAGGTGGTCCTTATGCCAAGAAAGTGATCCTCCCAAACCCAAAGCCCCCTCTAAAGCCAGGAACAGGTTAAGACCAATCCCACAGCTTCCACTGCAGACAGCGTGTAGCCCCGCACATGCTGTTCAGTGAGACATTTCACTGTTCAGTCTCTCACAGTCAAATTTTACAGTTTGCCAGGGGGAAGAATGCAGCCAACCAACCTTTGGCCACAAAGCTCTGGAAAGTTCTTGAGGCTCTCTGGAAGATCCCCTACCTTAGGAGAATCGGTGCACTGCTCTGTGTAATCCCAGTATACAAGGACACAGATCTCAGGCAGCGAGAGGGAAATGCAGCTGACGGACGCTAGTGGTGGCATCCACATCGTAGTCTGGCTCACAGTTAGCACACTATCAGAAATAAGGGGTGGAAGTCATGGTCTCTAATTACACAGACTGTCATTTCAGAGTTCTTCTCAAATAGAAGGGGAAAAGGAAACCAACAAGCACGAGGCATTTCTGAGAACTAAATGAAATTCAAACTACAGTGCAATAAAACCTCCAAGACACACTTAAATCAACCTTAAAAGGTAAACTTATACCTCTAAATATCTACATTAAAAAATCAGAAAGAGTACAAATTAATAACTTAATAATACAATTTAAAATTTTTTTAAAATAAGAACTAACCAAATCTAAAACCAGTCAATAGCAAGAAATTATAAAAATCAGAGCAGAAATTAATAAAAATACAAATAATCAACAAATCTAAGAGCTGATTCTTTGAGAAGATAAACAAGATTGACAGATATTGGCCTGACAGATAATCAAAAGAAAGAAAGAGAACCACCAAAATTAAACCAAGAAGTCAACAACGTAAACAGACACACAACAAATTAGGAGATTTAAATCATAATAAAAAGCCCTGCAGCTAAAAAAATAAACTAAAATACAATAAAATCCAGGGCCAGATGGGTTCATAGCAGAATCTATTAGATTTTCAAATACAATCCAGAGCCTTTGACTATTTTTAAAATTTGAAAGAAGGAGGATTCTCAAACTTTTTTATGAATGTTTTCTTAACAAGTGTATGTGTGCACCTCATGTGCTCCTGGTGCCCATGGGGCCAAAGGAGAGCAATGGATTCCTGGAACGAGAGTTAAGGACAGCTACCATGTGAGTGATGGAAACTGAATCCAGATACTCTGCAAGAGCAGTGAGTGATCTTAACTGATAAGGCATCACTGCAGACCTTATTCTATCCTTAAAATGAAGAAACTGGTGTCATGTACAAACTAATGGATGAACCCACAGGCCATTATGCCAATGGACATGAAGCAGACATAAGAATACAGTTAGTTACTATGCAATCTCACTTACAATTGGAATCTTTAAAAGTTGGACTCAGAGAAATAAGAGCAGAAGAATAATTCCCAGGAGCCAGGGGTAGAAGAAATGGGCAGACATTATTCAAAGGGTAAGAACTCTTCTGGGGACATCATGGTTACAGTTGATTTATATCTGTTCTCACTACATTTTAAAAAATGAAAAAAAGGGGCTAGAATGATGGCTCAGTGGTTAAGAGCACAAACTGCTCTTTGAGAGAACCTGGGTTGATTCCCAACACCCACACTGTGGTTCATAACCATTTGTCACTCAAGTTCCTGCACACACATGGTGCACATACATACATATAAAACACCCATACTAATAAAATAAATACATTTTATTTAAATAAATTTCATTTTAAAAAGGGCAGGGAGCCAGGCGTGGTGGGGCATGCCCCTAGTCCCTGCACTCTGGAAGGCAAAGGCAAAGGCAGATCTCTGTGCTTTCAAAGCCAGCCTGGTCTACAAAGTGAGTGTAGGACAGCCAGGGCGGCACAGAAAAAAAAAAACCTGTCTCAGAAAAAGGCAATGAGGTAGTATGTAATTTGTAAGCGAAACTAGCTTGATTATTTCAAAGTGCATACATATATCAAGTTCCAGGATAGTGAGAATTTTCTCAAAAAGTATGCATACATGAAAATATTATATTGTATATCTAAAAAATATATATAATTTATCACTTATTCCTCAATAATACTAGAAAAATTAAAATAAGCAATGAATGAAGTAAAATAAGCATCTGAATGAAGTAGATGTGCAAATGCCCAACAAATACATGAAAAAAAAAACCCACGGGGGCAAGATGGCGGCGCCGGGAGGACTCTCATTCTGAGGAGCAACACAGCAGGATTGGCACAGTGACCAGCAATCAGAACTCGCGGCCATAAAACACAAGTGATTGTGTTTCACAGGTGAGAGGATACCCCACGGTGGGGGATTCAGTCAGCTTTAGCTCACCCTGCTAAAGAGATCCCGGTTCCGCCAGGCGCTTGGTCGCCAGCCCAAAGCTACACC